CCCCAAAACCCCAAAACCCCAAAACCCCATAGATATAATATTACAAAAATTTTAAGTAAAAGGATAATATAAATCTAATTATTCGATATAATAATATATATAGATGAGAGATCTTAATAATATATTTATAAGATAGCAAACAAACAAAATGATAACTTAACAGATCGCATTCAATTACTATTAAGTGAACCCACTAATTCTATAAAACTTGATCCATTATCAACAGTAGGCTACTTTCATCTAAAATACCTGTGATAGCGTAGTATAAGAGCTCTAATTGGAAATGCAACATTTAATAGCTTAGAATGTAATTTGAAAATTTTAACTTTCATAGAATTTATCACTTCAAACAATGATGACGCCTATCCTTGCCCCATGTATTCAAACTGATTTTAAAAGTCATGCTTTACTGAACTAATAAACAGCAAAAATTCCTGAGCCATAAAGGATCTTGCTACAAGAGACTAGTCTTTTGAGTAAGAGTGAAAGGCCTGAAATAGAAAATGTGACTCACGTGTCTCTTACAAAAGAGTCTAATGAGCTCTTGGCCGATGAAGAGGCAACTTATAAAGAAGGCAGATGGACAAAGGAGGAACACCTCAGATTTGTGTCAGGTATCCTTATATTCGATATTCATCTACTATAGCACTTGAAAAGTATGGAAGTAACTGGATTAAAGTCTAGAATGCGGTTAAGACCAGGTCTGCTGCTTAGATACGCTCTCATGCTTAGAAATACAAACTTAAGATGGCATATATTGAGAGTTAGAGCAAACTACGTAGTATAGCACAAAGAGATAACTTCATGTTTAAGATTTTAAAGTCCAAGAAAAGAACGCTCCGTCTGAAAATGCATACCAAGTTATTTGAGGTCAGAAAGTTTAATAAGAAATGTGCTCTTAAAGTCAATAATGACTCAAGTTCGACCACATCTTCAGATTCAATGGTTGAAGTTAATCATTAACGATTAAATAAAGTACTATTTACTACTAAAAGTATTGTGCCGACTAATTAAAATTAAACTCAGATAATTACAAAAAAACTTGATTACAGTTAAACTAAAAAGATCTTTGAGATCACTCAAGAACCCCGTGTTGCAGTGGAAATTACACCATTATAACAGGTAGCCTAAATTGTGCCAGCTTCACTCTAAACACACCAACCTCTACAATAGATAGGACTAAATAGCATAGGTTTCTAGCCTTTGTAGACTTTTATAGATAACTAATTTTTACTTTAATAGATTGCGCAAACTCATCAACATCATGTGAAGAGGGTGCCCATTCGTGTTATTCAAAGTAATTTTAACCGACAATTTTGATTCAAGATGATATCCAACAAAACATCACTAAGACGATGATATACGAAGACTTTACCAAACGAGAATTGTATTGTTAAGTGTATAAATAATGATGATATACAGAAGAGTTAAATTTCTGCTCACGTTATATATTAACTTTCCTTAAATTCTTGAATATACCCTATCAACTTTTTCTTTTTTACAAGAGTGATGGGGTTTTGGGGTTTTGGGGTTTTGGGG